TTTCTCAGATGAGAAAACCTGAAACACAAGGAAGTTAAAGCGGTTTGTCCGACATCGTCCAAGGCAGAGACCAAAACCCGGGGGCAGCAGTTCCTGCCACCGGGCCGTACTGCCTCTGCGCCATCCCAAGCAGCGCCTACCGGTGAAGGCACAGTCATCCAGTAACGGCCACCATCTTCAACGAAAGCTGCATTTTTAGAGACCTCACAGTTCAAACGAAACACGACTCTAGCACGCGTGACATCGAGGAACGGCGGCTGGTCTTCAGAGGGGTGATAAAAGGCAGCGTGCTTGCCAATACGCAAAAGACAAAATCCTGCATACAGAGGTGAACAGCCCTAAGTCCTTTTAAATTTTTTTTTATGGCACTGTTTTCCAGGGTGGAGCTTTCTACTTCTTGGAGCACGTGGCTGCAGATCATTCCAGTTGGACCTACTTTTGGCAAAAGGTCTGTGACCCAGCCTGGAAGTATTTTGGAGATGGCTGTTCCTTGAGCAGAGAGACAGAGAAGGAGCTGGAGAAAACTAATTTCTCAGAACTGAATTTGAGGCGCATTCGTGTCACACCTTACTGGATTCCTACTAGTCCTCATATCATTGGGTACGCAGTAAAATAAATGACCACGAGCACTGCGGGACGCAGGGCCTCCCTTCGGTACTCCTTTCACGGTTTATAGGAGGTTTCCAGCCCTTACAGCCAGCCCGTACACAGCAGCTGGCTCCCCGGAATAAAAGCATGGAAAACTGCCCGAGCATCCACAGCACATTCAAACTGGGAACGACGTTCTTCCATTTGTTAGATAGGCTTTCTGGACAGAGCCCTGAAAGAGAGCTGCTGCACAGGGACCAGGCAAACTGGAAAGAAGCCCAGACAACACGTTTCAGTCCAGTACAAAATAACGGAGGAGTCAGCATCTCAGAGAGTTGAGAAGGGGGAGAGGGAAGAAAGGGAACAGAAGATACGTGCAAGCAAGCACAGAACGTTTTTCTAAGGGCAGAGAATAATGCCCAACCTCTAACGTTTCCGATACAGGACACATGCATAATAGATAGGGCATCAGTACGAGCATTTTCATTTCAGTCTGCCCATTATGAAATATATTTACGAGCAGGCGTTCGTTGGCCCGCACCAGTACAGCCCTCCCTGACAGGGCTTCTGTTGATTCAGGGAAGCGCTCGTCACACCACCGGTTCGCTGGGCACGGTTCTCACCGGCCACGAGGTGCTAACGCTATCAGCGCGGGTTTAACTTCAAACAGCCACCTACAAAGCAAAACCGGAACGTTTCTTTACACTGGGAGAAAACTGGCATTTGTTAAGTCAGACGGCAGAAATCTCATCTCCGCTGTAAAACGCTGTTACTAGATCAGCCACGTCCTTAGAGCCCTTCTGTCATGCTCTACTGACATGTTTTACCTCTTCATTTTCTACTCTCCCTCCAATGCAGATCACACCTTAAAGAGGTCTCTTTTAAAAGCCCGGAGTTTCATTAGAAATGTTTTCCAGTTAAACTCCCCGAGGACACCAAGGGCAGGTGCTGCTCTGTTGGCCACTGTTTAACCTTTCCTATGATGTCCCGCAGTATCGCAGCAAGGAGTTAAAACCTGGTACAGCTTATAAGAAAATAATGCATTAACGTCTCTATTTTGCGCTCCATACACATCCAACTAGTCTACACAGAAGGTAATTCCCATTGTTGAAATTTGTTTCTTTAACGTAGTTGCCGCAAGGTGGAGGTACGAAGGCATGACAACAGAGCGCGTTAATAAAGCAGTCTAATAACGATGCCGCCGTACGCTGGGTTTTATATTTGCTTTACTACCACTAGAGGGAGGAGGCAACTCATCGGACGACGGGCCTCCCTGTCGCCCACCAGAAAACCAAAATCCTCCAACGCAATTCACCATAGCGCTGCCTTTATTAGGGACCCGAAGTCCTCCTCTCCCTGTACTAGGCTCACCCGGAGCAGGGCAATTAAATGCTAGCGGCTAATCTACGTTGTTATCCAGTGCTCTGAAAAAGCACTGGCGACTGCAAAGTTGAAAAAGTTTTACAGAATGCATTTAGCATACAACAGACCGGTCGCTGTTGACTCAAGCTTATGAAGTTAATAAACCCAAGCCATATACTGTATGCAGTGATTACCGAGTTACTAAATTGTTTTATCTCTGTTCCACGATCCCCATCAAAGGTCTCAAAGATAACTAAGAAAAGCAAGCTCATTCACTGCAAAGGAGCCCGTACGCGCATACCAAAGTATTTCAGGTGTCCACAGAGTGAAAAGCCTGAAAACTGCTGTTGCAGAGAGAGCACGGAGCAAGGAGCCGACTAGCTCATCCAGCTGCTTACAACGGGACGGTAAATTAACTCTTCAGCAAATGCATTTAAAATGAAATGTACATCAAACTCCTAACGAAACGCCTACAGCAAATCCAGAGTTCAGATTAATTTCCTTCAGCTCACTAAAGACGACACACGGTTGCTTTAAGAGATACGAACTGTAACCTGAAACTGCTGAACACCAAATTTGGGGATCTTATGACATTTTGCCAGCGGTTACACGCGAAGTTGTGCTGACCGGTTCACCCCGCTTGCGTAACAGGCTCGCAGCTCCTCCTCTGCCAGAGCTGGGACGCGACCGCAACTGTTTGGTATGCGGTCCTGTTTTTCTCTTCCTTGCCTGTGACCGGACTTTAAAATCAGCTTTAGAGAAAAGTCTACCAGATCAATCCAAGGAGCTGAATATGCCTCAAGAGGAACGCGGCGAGTCCACAAATGCAGCTCGGTCTGAATTCCAAGGGCTCTAAGACACAGAAGAACTAGTTTTGCCGAGTACGGATCCTCTGCCCCACGCTGGAAATGACAGAGGCCAGCATCCTCCTCTTCCGCGCCTGCCTCGCGCTGCTTGCCATGCCCATCTACCTGCTATCGTTCCTGGGCATATGGGAGCCTTTCTGTAGGAAGATATTTTTTCCTTTCATTTTAGAGAAGCTTTCTGCAATTTGCGAGCAGAAAATAAAGAAGCAGAAACAGGAGCTATTTCGTAATCTACCTGACTTCAGGAGCCCCTCAGGAGAGCTGAAGCTGCTGGAGATCGGGACCGGCTACGGCACTAACTTCCAGTTCTACCCACCAGGCTGCAGAGTCACGTGCACTGACATAAACCCCAACTTCCAGCAAGGCCTTTCGAGAAACATGAACAAGAACCAGCACATCCACTACGAGCGTTTCCTAGTGGCCGCAGGAGAAGACCTGCACCAGGTGCCCAGCGGTTCCGTGGACGCCGTCGTCTGCACCTTGGTCCTCTGCTCCGTGCACAGTGTGAACGGCACCCTGAAGGAGGTACTGCGAGTGCTCAGACCGGTGAGTATCTGACTAAAAAGTCCTGTTATTACCTTTATCATCTATTCTAGAGGCACTGCACCAAAAGAATAGAAAGAAAAAGGAGAAAAAAAAAAGAGGAAAAAAAACGTTGGTTTCCAGCTTACAAACCAGACCCAGTTTATTTCCTTAGTTAAATCAGATTTACAACCACTCGGCACTGCTAAATGGTGCAAAGCAGTAGCAACATAGTGGTCAGTCTGTCCTATTAACAGTAAAACCCTAAAAGTAACATAGTCTGGTAACTAGAACTGCCGCTAATTTTAGAAGTAATTACAGTATATCATTTCAAGCAGAACTGGTTCCTGTGGTGTTGTCTCTCCCCACACACACCAGATTTTCCTTGAGTGGGAAGGTCTCTGATCAAGACTGAAAGTCTGCAGTTTAAATAAACGGCTTTAGCCTCTTAGAAGTGGGGCTGATCTACCTGTATGACTACACCAGTCTAATTAAATGCCTTCGTTCCCTGTAGTATACTAATCAAGCCAAAGATTAAAAAAAGCTGTTTTGTTGGGGTATTTTTGCAATCGACTTTCAGCCTTTAAAATGGCATTTTCAAGACAATCCTCTGGGTTGTCAAAAACTGATGAGTTTGAGTAGGATTAATACATTTCTTAGTTTCCTTTGAAAAAAATGACATGCTAGCAACTGTAATTGAAACAAAAAAGACAACAAACTATTGCTATAATAAAAGAGGGATCAAATAAGTACATCTTTCACGCTTTTTGAATAGGCATTCTGAATCTCTGCAGATTTCCTGCTTTTTCATTAATTCCAACTGACACCACAAAAGCAACAAGCGGGGGGAACAAGGGCTGGGGGAAGGCTGACGAGCGAGCAAACCGCACACGCGCCGCGCTGTGCCCGGGAGGAGGCGGGATGGAGGGAGAAGCTCGGCGTAACCCCAGCACCTGCTGCGCCTCTGTAAGACGACTTTGTGTTTTCCCAGGGAGGCGCTTTCTATTTCTTAGAGCACGTGGCCGCCGATCATTCCAGCTGGAAGTATTTTTGGCAGCAGATCTGCTATCCAACTTGGAAACTCGTCTTTGCTGGCTGCTGCCTCACGAGAGAGATATGGAAGGATCTCGAACAGGCCAACTTCTCGGAGCTGAACGTGCAGCACATAAGCGTGGCGCTGCCCTGGACGCCCATCCAGCCCCACATCATCGGCTACGCTGTGAAGTAACCCCCGCCGCCCTGCCGGGCCTCCTCCCCTGCCCCACAGAAATCCCCCGACATAACGCAAACGACACGGTGTAGGCTAATCCAGGTGTCCCAATCTAAGTAACACGGTGAAGGACTTTAATTAAGTTTCTGATTCAAGCATCGAGCGAGAAGAGAGGATCAGTTTTCTAAGCATCTTTGAAGCCCTCGCGCTGCTGACCGTGCCTCGCCAGGCCCACGGGGGATCCCAGGAGGAGGCTGCGGCAGGAAGCAAGACGGCCCAGCAAGCAGAAAAAAAGCAACTTGTTAACTCAAGGGAACTTTTGCTTATGAGCTCTGGGAAGGGTTCCGTCAGGGGTTCCCCAGGCTGGGCAGCAGCCGGGGCTCGGCGCGCCATTGCCCGCCAGCGCTGGGCTCGACCCTCTCCCCGTGCTCCCTCACGGAACGAGCAGTCAGATGCAAACCTCTAACAAACACCTAACTTTTGCTCCGCCGCAAGTATTTATTGACAACAGCCGGGGGTGTGGAGGGGAGGGCAGGCGCACGCCCTGCCTCCCCACACAGCACTTACCAAAGCCTCTCGGTCACTTGGCTGCCTGCCCGCTCCTGCGCGGTAACCGGTTCTAACGCTGTTCGCCACCAGAGCATTAAAACCCTCGTGTTGAACGTTACGGGCTGGGAAGTTTCTTTGCGAGGAGCCGCGGCTCGGTCAGGAGGCGCCGCCGCC